CCCTGCTCACTGCAGGGGGGTTGGACTAGATGACCTCTAGGGGTCCCTTCCAATGCAAAACATCCTATGACTCTATGATTCTAAATGTAAACTGCTCAAAAAATTAGCTGAAGTGAAGTCAAGCTGCTGACAGAATTCTGTCATAGAATCATAGAATCATAGAATCGTACGTTAAGGGGGCAGATTGCTACACATGCTAGGGGGGTACTTTACACCTCATATAAACCCTGCTGTTGCACATCTAGCATCACCAAAACTGGTCTCCTGGGATATGGTCCTTCAGAGAAGAAGAGTTCAGGAGAGCTGGTTGATATTCAAAACTCATCTCCTCAAAGCTCAAGAATCGTTCATCCCAACTAAATCAAGCAAAGGCAGCATGAGGCCAGCATGGATGAGCAAGGAACTTCCGACAAAACTCAAACATTAAAAAAGCATAAAGGAAGTGGAAGCAGGGACAGGGTGGGCGGGAGCAATATAGAGACACTGCCTGACTGTACAGGGATGGGGTCAGAAAAGCCAAAGCCCACTGGAGCTGAATCAGGTAAGGCAAGCAAAGGGCAGCACAAAGGGCTCCTACAGGTCTATCGGCAGCAAAGGAAAGCCATGGGGAAATGTGAGTCCACTCTTAAGTGCAGTAGGGGTCCTGGTGACAAAGGACATGGAAAAGCCCCAAGTACTCAATGTCACCTTCAGCTCTATGAAACAAAGTAAGTCCTGGGGACCTGAGGGGAGGCAGCCATGGGTGCTGAGGGGCTGGCTGATGTCATTGTGAGGCCACTCTTGATTATCTTTGAAAGGTCATGGCACCTGGGAGAGGTTCTTGAAGAGTGGAAGAAAAAAAACTGTCACTCCCATCTTTGAGAAGGGCAAGGAGGAGGATCCAGGGAACTACAGTCTGGTCAGCCTCACCTCGATTCCTGGGAAGGTGGTGGAGAATATCATTGTGGAAGCCATTTCCAAACATGTGAAGGCCAAGAAGGCTATTAGGAGTATTCAGCATGGATTTACAAAGGCTAAATCATGCTTGACCAACCTAACAGACTTCTATGACACGATCACTGACTTGGTGGATGGAGAACAGTGGATGCTGATTGTGCATTTATTAAAGCTTCCAATGCTGTCTTCCACAACATCTTCATTGACAAACTGATGAAGCATGGGCTAGACAAATGGAGAGTGACATGAAGTGAAAACTGGCTGAACTGCTGGGCACAGAAGGTTCTGATTAGTGGCACAAAGTCACTTTTGATGTCCCCCAGGAGTAGATACTGGAACCTATACTGTTTAACCTCTTCAGTCATGACCTCAAGAGAGGAACAGATTGTAGTCACACAAATCTGCAGACAACATAAAACTGGGAAGAGTGACTGAAGCACCAGGGGATTGTGCTGCCATTCAGAGGGACTTGAAAAGGCTGGAGAATTGAGCTGACAGGAACCTCACTGTGTTCAGCAAAGAAAAATGCCATGTCTTGCAGTCCTTGGGAAGGAATAACCTCATGCACTACAGATGTTGGGGGCCAACTGGCTGGGAGGCACCTTTGCAGAAAAAGGCCTTGGGAGTTGGCCCTGGACACCAAGCTGACCACAAGTCTGCAATATGCACTTACAGCAAAGAAAGGGCTCTCCTGGGCTGCATTAGACAGAGCATTGCCAACAGGCTCAGGGAGGCGATCCTTCCCCTCTGCTCAGCACTAGTAAGACCCATCTGGAGTGCTGTGCCCAGTGCTGGGTTCCCCAGTACAAGAGAGACACTCATGTACTGGAGTGAGTTGAGTAAAGGGTCAAGAAGATGATTAAAGGACTGGAACATCTGTTGTATGAGGAGAGGCTGAGAGAGCTGGGGCTGTTCAGGCTGGAGAAGAGAAAGCTCAGGAGGATCTCATCAGCGTGCAAAAATACTTGCTGGGGGGTAGGGTGTGTAAGAAAGAGGAGCCAGACTCTTCTCAGTGGTGCCCAGTGCAGGGACAAGAAGCAACGGGCACAAATTAAAGGAAATTGAATTTCAACATAAGATTTTTTTTATTATTTTTTTTTTTTTACTCTTCAGGTGATCAAACATTAGAACAGGTTTCTGAGACAGATTGTGGAGTCTCCTTTCTTGGAGATATTAAAAGCCCAATTGAACACAGCCCTAAGCAACTTTCTGTAGCCTCAGCTATTCTCTGTGTACTGCTGTGTGTGGTTTTGCCTGTTTCTATCCTTCATACCTTGAGGACAGCCCCTTATCATGACTTATCTTGGGTGTGACTCAAGTCAGGGCAAAGAAGGAGTTTAGTCCCACCATCCATGGGCAGAGGGCTTGAGCCTGACCCTGTCTGGCTCATTCATGAGTACTGTACTATGAACTTGTTCTCTTTATGTGCACTGTTCACTTCTGTGGAAAGCTGGTTGACTCTCCCAAAACAGAAAATTATGCCATCATCGGATTGTTTCTAGTTCCCCAGGGAAGGCTAGTCACATTAAAATGTAAAATCTAACCTCAACAGATTTTTCGTGACAAGCCTCAGGGCTGCTGATGTCAGGGAGTCTAGAAAGCTGGCTGGGTGAGCAGGACAGACTCAATGACTTCTTGGTATGAGCCCTAAAGTTCTTCATTACGTGTGCCACTGTTTCATACTGAGTTCCTAATGCAGTTTTTCTTTGCTTATACATTGGTTCAGTTTATGGTTAAAATGTACTGAGATGGACTGGAACAGGATAATGTCAAGGAAAATGGGTGCCATACCTTGGGCACTTGATTTTTCCAGTGGTCATCTAACAGAAGTGCCTGGCCTCTGTAAGGTGATTAGAAGAGCCACAAGGAAGAGCTACATATCTCCCTGACATGGTCAGAAAGGAGGGCTGGGAGATTCAGTCTTCCTACAATGTTCCTACATGCAGAGCAGAAGGTTACCTGCCAGTATGAAATACTGGTCCCAGCAGCTTGTCTAATTTAGTCCTTCTCATTCAACATTTCAATCCACAGGCAGTGCAAGGCATCAGCTCTTCTCTAAGCAAAGGCACCTACTAGAGAAGGAGAGGTGGCTTTGTTTGCATGGTAACCTTGTGATCAGAGCACCTGCCTAGGATGGGTGTGGAAGCACTGCTGGTCACGTACCAAGCCATGACCAAAGGATCGGACACACTCTGCTCTGCTGTTTTACTCTGAAGGAAAGACCCTCCAACAGATGATCTGAGCAGATTCATGGGAGTGGGAGTGTATTAAATATAGCTAAATATTTGTCTGTCAGAGCCACTGAGAAGGTAATTTTTTAACACTCCAAACTGTGGCACAGTCTCCCAAAAGAAATGGTGAAAATGCCATCTGAAACATTTATAAATAGCCGATAAATATATTGTTATGAGCATAGCATATATCGACACTGGATGGACTAGCTCATTTATGGTCCTTTGTAAAGCTGAATGTCCAATGGGATAAAAATTAAGAAAGGAGGGAATCCGTACTATAAACAATTTTTTTTTCCTCCTTTTCTTCTGCAGAGGAATGAGAACAGCTTTATCATTGGTATGAGAGAGCATATTGCAAAGACTGATCCTTTCAAGATCTCTCTGTTTAAGCATGACTGCATCCCTCAGCCAGAGCTCACTCTCTCCACGACATGGATCCATCTTGGAGTCATCTTCTTCTTCTTAATAATTTCTGGGTTACTCTCTGGCTTCCTGACCCAACTTAAAATACTCGTGTCAACTTCATTTTATCCTGACACTGAGATGAAACGGATACAGTATTTGCATGCAAAATTACTCAAGAAAAGAGTAAAGCTACAAGAGAAAACAGGAAAGAACATGTTTGCTAAAACGGTAAGCCATCAGCTCTAGGTGAAAAAAAAAAAAAATCTTCTCTCAGGTTAGTAGCCCGATGCAGGAAATTCTTAAACACTGGCTAATTTCAGTTACGTGCTAATAGACTTTCCGCAGTGCTCTCTTGCACAGGGGCTGGAGGCAAGTTGCCTATTGGTAAGATTAGATCATGTACTTGTTTTGTTCTGTCCTTCAACATCCATGCATCAGACACGACATAGGTGCACCCAAATGACTATGTGCTGGCAGGAAAATACTCCTCAGACTTAGAGCTCTCCAGAGAGGAAACTTGGTTTTCATGAATGTGTAAAAAGTACCTCCAGCACAATGGGTATTACTGAAATCTAGACAGCAAAATGCTAGGCACTTGTGAGCAGCCTCTTAATGCTGAGAAAGATATTCGGTTGTTGCTTAGCGAAATAGAAGGTGATATATTTCTGTTTTAAAACACAGTGGGAGTACAACTGCAAATACCATTAGGAAACAGAACTTTTGCTTGCAAAAACATTCACCCTGTGCATGTATGTATATATGCACTAATGGAAATGCAAACACACAAGCATATGTTTATGACAAATCCAGATAGATAGCTGCAGACACATATGGTTTGGGTTGGGTTGGGTTTTTTAATAGCCTTCAATACCGACTATACAGATGTTGTAGTGTCCAGGCGATCTCTAACTTAGTAGTACCATGATCATAGCATCATATTTCTGTCTTTTCAGATCAACTTTTGGTTTCCAATACTCCAGGCAAGAGAGGTGATGAAGAAGAAAGAAAGGAGTGTGGCAAATGACAACATCGTGTGAAAAAGTGAATCTTTGAATAAAGCTGAAGTACTCTAGCTCCACAGGGACCTGTGTTTTGCACCCATCTTTCCTATGGAAATTAAATTTTAAAATTTAAAAATAGAGTTAATGGGAACAAGTGGAAAAGAAACCGTGGGAGATAGTGTGCTCTCCACAGAGAGCTCTGGGTTGCATTAATACTTGTTTTTTAACTTGGCTTCTGCATTGTCGAGTACTTTAGAAAGCCATGGAGGGTATGTTCTTCTGTGTAAAAGCAGTCAAACAGCTTGGAGTTTTTAGGACTACAGCACTGTCCTGGTTTCGGCTGGGATAGAGTTAATTTTCTTCAAAGAAGCTAGCATAGTGCTGTGTTTTGGATTTAGTACTACAAGAATGTTGATAACACACTGATGTTTTTAGTTGTTGCCAAGTAGTGCTCAGACTACTCAAGGACTTTCTGAGCTTCTCCTGCTCGGCCAGGTGCATAACAAGCTGGGAGTACAGCTAGGACAGCTAACCCAAACTGACCAAAGAGCTATTCCATACCACATAACGTCATGCTCGAGGGGGGGTTAGTCGGTCGGTCGGTTGCGGGGAGAGTGATCGCAACTTGGGACGGGCTGGGCATCGGTCGGTGGGTGGTGAGCAATTGCATTGTGCATCATTCGTTTTGTATATTCTGTATATTCTGTTACCATTCTCATTATTACTATTATTATTATTTTCTTTTATTAAACTGTCTTTATCTCATCCCACGGCTCTAACTTTTTTTTCTTCCCAATTCTCTCCCCCATCCCACTGCGGGGGGGGGGGGGGGGGGGGGGGGGG